AAAGGTGTCCTCTGCTCTCAGGGCATCTACTGCAAAGAAGGCAGGTCTCTTATGCCCTCTGGACTTTCATTTGGTGTTGTTCCCCCAAAGCAGTGGTTCATGCAACTAGTTCCCAGGGATACTGTGTGGAAGCAGGGTTCCGTGGTCCAGTGAGTGTGACGAGGGTGTCTGTGACTTCCCCTCTCAGACAGCTGTAGTACACATCAGCCTGGCAAAGATTCTGAGAAGTCCAGAGTAAAGAAACCTATATATTGCAGATTTTTTGAGCACAGAAGCTTTCCCCTCCACATTATATCTGTTAACATGTGCAGAAAGAATGCTACTAGCAACAGTTTGGTTAAAAACTAAATCATTACCCCAGGATTACAGTTGTGCTCCTCACCCCTCACCTTTGTACCACTCCCATGCTGATACTATGAAGACAGGGGCAAAAAACAATATTGAGTAATTAGTTATTGAATGTTCTGGAACTTCCAGGGCGGTTCTTGCTCTCTAACGTGTCAATAACAGGGTTCTAAGTTATCCTTTAGAGAGACCTCATTTATCCTTTTGGCAAAAAAATGCATTGTGTAGACAGCAGGTGACTCACAGCTGAAACGTGTGGTTCCAAAGCCCCAGGGTTTGAATATTTTAATATTAGAAATGCAAGAAAATATTTCAGGAAAAGACAGAACAGCTTCTAGAACTCGATGATACTCCCCTATTGATGCCTTTTATGGTTTCTGGTTCCTATCAAGTCAGAGCTTATATAACATGACTTAAGTCAGCTGAGAAAAGGAGGCGACGTCAATGATTATAGAAATAAACTAAACTTCAAGAGTTCTAGAAAAGCACTTTACTGTTTTTCCTCTCTTAAAGAAATCTGTGCCAAAGTAAAGGATTGCTTAACAAAAAAACAGTACATTTAGTCAATAACATCAGCAATCCAGTTGGCCAGACCAGGAATCAGGGAATTGTCCCAGGATCCTCCTCCCTTGCCGCCTTCCACATACTTCTCAGAGCTGTTTCCTCCCTCCATTCTGACTCCTTCTGTTCTGAGGTCCTCACTATGTCTTTCCACAACTAATGGGGTCAGCTGGTCTACCACTCAAGCATCATCCTGTCCACATGTGTCACTCTCCTCCTCTGAGCCCTTCAGGGCTCCTTCTCTATCCACAAGATCCCCATCATGTACTCTGACAGCCCCATCATGTGCTCTGCCAAGAAGACTAAACTTATAAAGGTTACATGACCTTCCTTACATCATATGGATGAATTTGGGACCAGAACCTTGGTCATCATCTGCCAAATCAGGAGCCGACATGTAGAAATCAACTTAGCAACAGCAGGAACTCATGTCTGAGAATTTAAACTCTTGCAAATGATTAATTCAGTCACAACTGAGTGTTGCCATGACCCTCAGTGGTCACTGCTTTAACATGAGTCATCCTTAAAATCTGACATTCAAGGGAAAAAATGAGCCAGTTGGCAGTGATACATGACAGCAGTGGTACAACATTCTGGTTAAAAATGTAACCTCAAAGGCCAGAGGAGGCATAATCCATATCACTAGGGTCACTTTATTTCACCTTTTGGGAAAACAGTATTACACTCAATGCACCACACTGACCTATAATGTCACATGTCAAAATCTAGTGGCTCAATGTACAAATTAATCTAGAGATTCTGAATAAATTGACATCTGCAAAAAGAATACCTCCACTCTGAAAATTAGAATTGGAAAAACTTAGTTCCAAGTGTAATGTTCCATTTGGAATTACTTTAGAGATTTTTTTTTTTTTTTTTGAGTTGGAGTCTCACTCTGTCACCCAGACTGGAGTGCAGCGGCCGCTCCCGGCCACCACAGCCTCAACCTGCTGGGCTCCGGGGATCCTTCCGCCTCAGCTTTTCAAGTAGCTGGAACTACAGGCACGTGCTACCACGCCCAGCTGATTTTTGATTCATTGTAGAGATGAGGTCTCGTCAAGTTGCCCAGGCGGGTCTCAAACCCATGGGCTCAGGCAGAGATTGTTAAAAAGAGAGGAGTAGCTGGGCTCAGTGGCTCAACCTGTAATCCCAGCACTTTGGGGAGGCTGAGATGAGTGGATTGCCTGAGCCTGTGGGTTTGAGACCAGCCTGGGCAAATTGGCGAGACCTCGTCTCTACAATAAATAAAATATTAGCCAGGTGTGGTCCTGCGCCTGTAGTTTCAGCTACTTGGAAGGCTAAGGTTGAAAGATTGCCATAGACCAGCAGGTCGACGCTGGGGTGGCTGTGAGTGTGCCACTGTACTCTAGCTTGGGTGACAGAGTGAGACTCCCACTCAAAAAAAAGAGGGGAGAAAGGAGCTATTGAGCTATTCCAAGTAAAACACTATACTTGGCATTAAATTTGCCAAACTGAAATAACCAGGCCAAGCCCGGTGTGCCAATACCCATATGGTAATGAACACAATGTTGTTTGCATATACTAAAATAATTTCTCAATTTCTTACATACAAAAATGTTTTGAGTTTATATAGTGCTTTTCATCTGAGGCACTCCATCTTTTATAATTTTCTAGCTCATTAATCATCTATTAATACTACTTTATTTTAATTTGGATCCCCAAATCAACCATAAGAAAAAAATGCAAGTGCTAGACATTTATATTTTTTAGTTTTTCCATTTTTAAATATTACTCAACCATCATAGCCCTCAAGGAATCTCAAATTGCTCACGAGAGTAAAAATTATAGGTTTTCCCTTTCAACCAAAAAATTGAAAAGAATCCAATTTTTGAGTAAGTTGAGAGAATAAACCTGAGTGAGGTAGCTATACTGGGCTTTATAAGCACACACTGAAATTTTAACTCAATAAGAGTCTTTTCTCTCTTTTTTTTTTTTGAGTCAGAGTCCCACTCAGTTGCCCAGGCTGGAGTGTAGTGGCACGGTCATGCTACGGCAGCCTTGACCCGCTGGACTCAGGTGATCCTTCCACTTCAGCCTTCCAAGTAGCCAGAACTATAGGCGTGGGCCACCACGTCCAGCTAATTTTTTGATTTTTATTGTAGAGACAAGATCTTGCCATGTTTCCCAGGCTGGTCTCGAACCTATGGGCACAGACCATCTTCTTGCCTCCATCTCCCAAGTGCTGAGATTGCAAGAGTGAGCCACTGTACCCGGCAAGAGTTTTTTCTCTATTCCAATATATAACAAAAAAAGAGGTGAAGCTAAGAGGTGATACCTGCCTTGTTTGGGGTGAGTAATGGAAGCATCTGGCTGTCCTCTGTTCTGGCCCCTTAAGAGCATTCACAGCTAGGACTGCGAATGACTCATCTATGCTTCCCCAAGAGTGCACACAGCAGGTGCTCACTAATTTGCATCTGGCTTTAATGCTCTAAGTAAACATTACAAGTGTCTTAAGTAGAGGGAAATTGGGATGACTTACCGACTTCTCCAACTTGGTATCAAGAAATGTTGAATTCTGATTATTTCAAAAATGGCAACCTTATATCACCATCCAAAATATTTTTATTAGGCAAATAATACTTACTATTTCAGATCCAATAATTCCGATTTTATACTTTGGGTTGAACTTTATAGTCTATGAAAGAGAATGGAGAATGAGATTTTGTTTTTGTTTTGGTTTTTTTTGGAGATAGGGTCTTGCCCTGTCACTCAGGCTGGAGTGTCATCATAGCTCACTACAGTCTCAAACTCCGAGGTTCAAGCAATCCCAGGCCTCAGCCTCCTGAAGTGCTGGAATTATAGGAATGAGACACCATGCTCAGCTGGGATGAGGTTTTCGTAGAATTATTTAAATTACTCCAGAAACCTATTTTTAATGACAACGGACTTCCTTTCAACTGCCCAGGCTCCACATCTCCATCCTCTGCTAAGGAGCCCTTGAGTTTGTTTTGGAGGCTACCTTTGCCTCACTGGTAACAGGCTTGGTGGTCCATTAAGGAAGGTGCCTAGCTTTCCCTTGGTCAAGAAAAAGGCCAGAGGCCCCAGTCACACCAATCAGAAAACTTTCCCTGCAACAGGAGTCTTGAACCAAGTGCTCCAAGCACTACTCTGACCTATTCCTCAAGGGACTGTCTGATACTCCTTGCTCCCCAAACTCCTGGGACAGTCCACTGTGTTCCCCTCAGCCTTCCAGTGTGTTCCCCTCTTCCTCTGGGTTAGCCAGAGATGGATTCTGTTGCTTGCAACCATGAAATCTTGACAAATCCACAGGTAATACCCAAATCTTCATGGACCAATGACAATTTGATATGCCAATTCCAGGTCTGCTCAATCTACTCATAAAGCAGATCTATTGAAGACCTGTACTGAGCAGGACTCTGTGCAGATGACCATGTGAATTTTTTAAAAAATTAGGCCAGGCTTGGTGGCTCATCCTGTAATCCCAGCACTTTGGGAGGCCAAGGCAAGTGATTGCTTGAGCCCACGGGTTTGAAACCAGCCCAGGCAACTTGGTGAGACCTCATCTCTACAATAAATCTGCCATGGTAGCGCATGGCTATAGTTCCGGCTACTAGGAAGGCTGAGGCAGAAGGATTGCCAGAGCCCAGCAGGTCGACACTGGGGTGGCTGTGAGTGTGCCACTGCACTCCAGCCGGTGACAGAGTGAAACTCCGCCTCAAAAAAAAAAATTACATTATTGGAAAAGTTTTCTCTCATTCTCACTGACTTCCCTCTAGTCCATGTAGTTTTACTTGATGGAGAAATTATAAAAGATTCTATTCCTATCAGAAAAGCACCCTGAATCTTAATTAGATTGAAAGGGAGAGAGCTGAGCTTTCAGTCAAAAATTCAAGACACAGACAAACTGGTAACTCACATGACGCTGGGGGTAAGCAACCTAATGCTTTTAGATCTCCTTTTTATCCTCATGTTTCAAAAAAAAAGAAAAATAAGGCAATGGTGAAGAACAAACCATATAAGATGATATATGTGAAAGGACTGTAGACTCTGTGACGCACAATCCAGAGGTAAGGCAGTGATCCTACTGCTTTAGCCTTAGCTTGCCAACTCACCTTTGCCAGAGACAAGGGCCTTCTGCAATACTTCCTTCAGAGAGTTGTGCCCGTGCAAGAGTCTGTGGCTAGGAGAGATGGCCACGTGGGAAGTGCCATAAATGGCCTCAGGGGTGGCTGTGTAGGCAGTCAGTTTTTCTCCTGTGACTTGCCCATGAGCCTGGCAGGAAGAAAGAAGAGTGGTTTCTTCCTCAGTCCTCCTTTTGGGTTGTGATGCTACCCAACCACAACACTTCCCCTTTATTCCCAAACAGTGCCAACAGCTTCTTACCACGGGCCCAGGGGGGTAGAGGAATGAGATGGTACAGGCAGAGAGGTAGAGATTGGGGAATGAGATAAGAAAGTCAGGGAGGGAGAGGATAGACATTCCCCATTCAGAAGCCCTCCCCAGTGCCCACCACCAGGCATGTAGGCGTCCTGAACTGAAGATGGACAAAGCATGCTCAGAAAGATACTCTCCTGGTTTTCCTGGTTCCTTTGTTCACAAAGCAAAAATAACCATTAATGTTATATTGTTTCTATCTTGAGAAAGGAGCTATATATTCCTCAAGGATCTAAGGGTACAGCAAAAAAAAAAAAAAAAAAAAGCCTTTGCTTTTCTTTCTAAAAAAAAATAGTCACTGAGGTTGTTATTTTGTTTTGAAGAGAGAAAGATAGGATAGTCTGAGCTGAGCTCGCGACTAAGGGAGCCTAGAGCTGATTAAAATGCCTTTCAAGGAACAGGCATACATTAGGCATCAACTGAGTGCCAATTACATGACAAACATGGAGGACACAGAGAGGACAGCTGCTACTTCCTTCATGCATTTATTTAAACACACTGACAGAGTGCCAATGATGAACTAAAAAAAGACAGTCTACTACATGGCATAAGTGTCAATTAGGTGTCGCCTACAGTGCCAAGATTGGGGACACACAGGCATAGGTACTTGCACTGCCCTGCAGGACTAAGAATGTTTCCTCCTCTGAAACAGTATGTTGGCCCATCTCATTTTCAGGTGGGTCCAGGGATGAAGATGCAAACATTTTCAAAATAAAATGTTGGGCAGGGGAGAGAGTGTAGAAGACATTCTGAGCACAGCAGTCGAGAGGTTTGGAGACCCACATCCTGAACACTGGCTAAGAAGCAAAAGTCTGTGACGTGGGAACCAGACCCAGGCTAAAGCATAGGACCCCAAGAGAGATGGCCCTGCAAGTCTGAATAGAAGTCACAGCTTGACTGAACTTCAGAACTCTCGCCACCTGAGGAGAGCAGCAGGAGGAAAAGCTCAGTCTAGGATTTGTTATTAAAAAGTTTCCCAAATACACACGTCCTCATGGGAGGCTTCCCATGCTTGTAGTTGGAGTGAGTCAGAGCACTTCTGGGAGGTGACTGCACAGGGAATCATGAGCTCAGTGACAAGTGGCAAGTGCTCACAGACAGCAGGTATGGTTGTCAGTGGGGAAGAGTCTAGAAAGGTAGGCCAACTTTGTCTCTTGACTGCTGCTTCTGCCTCCCAAAGATTTTGGTGGGAACCAAGGTGAGGGCCAGGTTTGGAGTTAAATGAATAGAGTATAAACGTCTTGATGGGAGAAGAGGAAATCGGAAGAATAAAAAAGAATACCCAGGTAAGAAATAGCAACAGAATAACTCTCTAGTCGGTAGACAAAAAAAGCTTTAGGGACAGCGTTTCTGTAGTCTTTTTGAACATAATCCCTGTTGTGAGCCGGCCACAGAGGCCCACTGAGCATTAGGGATCAGGGAGGGCCGTGGACCCCGAGACCGCTAGGACGTGTTCGGGAGCCGTAGATGCCATTTTCCTCCCCCTTTTGCCATGCAGCACAAAAACAACCTAAAGGAACTCTGCTGGCCTAAGCTGAAGGCTCTGTGACTGTGACAGGCATAGCTCACTCTAGAAACCTGTTTCCCATAAACTGTTCCTGTTTCCCATAAACTGTGGTTTCGGCTTAGGTATTAGATATAATTCAAATTCAGGTCACATTTGGGAGCCTTTTATACAGTACAAGCTTCTTTATAAGATTTAAAAGAATATTTGTAGAATTAGTATATACTTATGGAGAGCTGCTTTCAGCTTTTCAATGGTATAGATGATTATCAAGAGTGGCCCAGCACAGAGTTTGGGCTGGGCCACATTCCTGAGAGCCCAGCGCGTACTTTGGACTGGGCTGCATTCTTTTAGGCCGGCTTTAGCTACAGTTAATGTAAGGTCTTTTTTCTACCTATTATAGAAATTGAATTTATTTTATTCATAGAAGGTATTGTAGAATAGGTCATACTACATCAAGGAATCATGTTAGTTCAAGCATAATCAATCATGATATTTTTAGGTTTAATAAGAATATAGTTAACTTTAGAAATTTCATTGTCTCCATTTTCTACTATGTGGTTTTGGCCTTAGTACATTTATAGTTTATATTTGGAAGCTTTACTGCTGCTAATCAGCTTTATATATTAGAATTAGGAATTGGAAAACTTTCACAGAAATTAGGATAGATATATAGGACTTTAGAATAGCCATTTTGTTAAGAGATTGTAGTCTATTGTTCCAAAAAGTGGCCCACCGTGAACCTTGGACTGGGCCACATCCTGTAGAGCCCAGCGTGATCTTTGGACTGGGCCACATTCTTTAGGAATTGGTTTAAGCTATAACTAAGAGCTTCCGTACCATTGTGTAAGTAGTATTAGCATAGAATAGAAAGGTAATAAAGTTTAAGTTAGTCATCATGGGTACTGAGTGAGCTTTAGAAGTTATTGATTATCAGAACATCATTAGGCTAGTAGGGACTGTTGCACTGCTTTTGAAGAGCATTAACTAGCAAAGGGAACAATAAGACAATCTTGGGGTTTGTCCTTCCTCACACCTAAGCATCTGGTGGGTGGGGGATGCCCCTCCTGCACCTGGTTTTGTGTTCACATGAAAGACTTGTGAGACTGCCTGTGTAAAATTTGGGGATAAATACCTGCTGTAACTTTCAATAAATGGCTTCTGCTCATTTCACTGAATAGTTGTCCACTTTCTTTCTTTCTCTTTCTTCCTTTTTATATCTATCCTTCCATCTTTCTTTCTTTTAATATCTATCCCTACAGATTCGCCGACGCCACCACATCTTCCAAGGGACTCCCCAAAACTTGCAGGGGCTGGTCCCCCGCAAATCCCTAACAGTCCTAAGTCTGTCTAGCTATGAAATGTTACAGTCGGCCTCTGCTTTCTTGACTTTTAACCTGCTTTGTGATATGAACCCCTTTGAGAATACAATGAGCATGCAAAGTTTTTTTTTTGAGTCAGTGTCTCACTCAGTCACCCAGGCTGGAGTGCAGTGGCACACTCATGGCCACTCCAGCGTTAACCTGCTGCGCTCCAGTGATCCTTCCACTTCAGACTTGCAAGTAGCCAGAACTACAGGTGTGCGCTACCATGTCCAGCTAATTTTTTTTTTTTTTAATATATTGTAGAGACGATATCTCACCAAGTTGCCCAGGCTGCTCAGGAACCCCTGGGCTCAGACAATCCTCTTGCCTCAGCCTCCCAAAGTGCTGGGATTACAGGCTTGAGTCACTGTACCCAGCCTATGCAAAGATTTTATACATAATTTCTGGAGTTCATGGGCCCCTGAAGACCCCCTCTGTATTTGTGTTGTTCAATATGGTAGATAGTAGCAATATATGGCTATAAAGCACTTGAAATAGGTTAGTATGTGCTGTAAGTATATAGTGGATTTTGTAGTAAAACATTATTTCTTTAATAAATCATTTTTTTTTATTAATCCCATCTTGAAATGGTAACATTTTGGATATAATGGTTTAAATAAAATATTATTAAAGTTAATTTCACCTGTTTCTTTGCACTTTAAAAAATGTGGCTATATGACCAGCAATTTCCTTATTGGGAATATACCCGGAGGAACTCAAATTATTCTACGAAAAAGATACCTGCACACGTATGTTTGTTGCAGCTCTATTCACAATAGCAAAAACATGGAACCAACCGTGTTGCCCATCGAAGCTGGACTGGATTAAAAAAATGTGGTACATATACACAATGGAATATTATGCAGTCATGAAGAAGGACAAATATATGGACTCTGCAGCAAATTGGTTGGATTTTGAGTCTATCATACTTAGTGATTTATCACAGAAACAAAGAACTGAGTTCCATATGTTTTCACTCATAAGGTGACTGTGAACAATTATAATGCTATAAGAAAGCGATTGGCAGTAGTGGAAAACTGTCAGGGGGTGGGACTAGCAGTTGAGGGAAACTGTTAGGGAAGGGAGGGGCATACCTCATTAACAAGGGTACCTGCGTGACCAATGTTTGTATACCTAGCCCTGAATTGTACCCCACATCTTTATAATAAATACGCCTTGGGAGGCTGGGGTGAGTGGATTGCCTGAGCCCGCGGATTCGAGATCCGCCTGGGCAACTTGGCGAGACCTCATCTCTACAATAAATCAAAAAATCAGCTGACCATGGTAGTGCGTGCCTGTAATTCCGGCTACTCGGAAGGCCGAGAAGAAGGATTGCTGGATCCCAGCAGATCAAGGCTGTGGTGGCCGGGAGCGGCCACTGCACTCCAGTCTGGGCGACAGAGTGAGATTCCAACTCAAAAAAAATAATAAACAAATAAATATGTGGCTACTAGAAAAGTTAAAATTACTCATGTGGCTTGCGGTATCTTTCCACTGGGCCCTGCTGTGGTAGAATTTCAAGTTGCTGGTCTATTCAATGAGTCCCAAATGCAGAAAGCAATTTGGAAGCACGAATTGCTGGAGATGCTATTGCTTGATCACCTTTAATGTGAAGTCCAGATGGCAGCCGACACAGTCCCCGATCCAGTGGGCCTGCATGCCTTTTATTCCATACCATTCTGGAAGGTCTGCCAATGCGTCCTGCATGGCCTGTGGAATGAAAAGGAGAATAGAGCAGTAGAAACACAAGCTTGTTTAAGAGAAAGCAAATGATTTGGGGCTTGTTAAGAGGTTCTGGATTTAGCTCTTTCCTTGTTCACTGGCCAAGTCAGAGGAGGCCAGCAAAGGTTAGAAACAGATGCACTCATCATCCAGTGAGCAATTGACCAGTTTCTCTATTCCAAGTGAAACAAGTTTTCATGAAAAGAAGAAAATTAACAAGGAAAAGTTATAATTCACATCTTTGGTAAATATGTTTAGTGCATTCTCTTCCACAATCTGGGAACCAAAAAAATTAAGTTCAAGTCTGGCATGGTGGCTCACGCCTATAACCCTAGCTCTTTGGGAGGCCAAGGCAGGAGGATTGCTTGAGGCCAGGAGTTTGAGGTCAGCCTGGACAACATAGCTGGCTCACACCTATAATTTCAGTACTTTGGGAGGCGGAGGTGAGAGGACTGCCTGAGCCCATGAATTCGAGACCAGTCCAGGCAACTTGGTGAGACCTCATCTCTACAATAAATCAAAAAATTAGCCGGGCGTGGTGGCACGTGCCTATATTTCCAGTTACTTGAAAGACTGAGGCAGAAGGATCACCTGACCCAGCAGGTTGAGGCTGCAGTGGCCGTGAGCATGCCACTGCACCTCAGCCTGGGCAAAAGAGTGAGACTTCAACTAAAAAAAAAAAAAAAAAAAGAATTAACCAGGTGTGGTGATGCAAGCCTGTAATCCCAGCTACCTGGGAGGCAGAGGCAGGAGCATTACTTGAGCCACTTCATGCCAGCCTGGGCAACAGAGCAAGACCCAGTCTCTTAAAATTAAGTTCAGCTGGGTGCAGTAGCTCATGCCTATAATCCCAGCACTATGGGAGGCAGAGACAAGAGGACTGCCTGAGCCGGGAGGTTCAAGATCAGCCTGGACAACTTGGCAAGACCTCTACAATAAATAAAAATTAAGTTCAAGTTTATAAATTTTGAAACTCTACAAAAAGCTTTTCATGCAGTTTTACAACTCAACAATATCATATATTGGGCATTATAAATGATACCTTTGCATTTAAAAAATAAAAATTACTATAAGGGGAACATTAATTTTTGTAAACACTTACTATTGGAAACATACTGATTTTCATTGTTGTTTACTTTTAATCCTAAATTCTTATAAAAGGGGGTTTTCCTAGACATTACTCTCTATGGCCTCAAGCACATGCTAGCCCTTATTTGATGACGAGACATGCTACCCCAACAAATGGATTTAAAAGCAAATCATAGATCTGTAATGTGAAGATACCTAATTGTATTATGGCTAATTCAGGCAATATAATGATACTTTATTTGTCTAGTGTTTTGTAACCCATAAAGTGCTTTCACATATATCTCTTCTTGCACACTTTGTAAGATAGCTTATTTTAGGATGAACTTACTTTGCAAGAGGTAATGTGGGCCATGCCCAGTCAAAGGAATTCATACCCCAGGTCTACAACTCAGATTTACTAACAGCATTCTTTCTGCTACAACACAAAGATTTTTACTCTAATGTGTGATTAAAAAAACAAAACAAGTCGGGCTCGGTGGCTCAGCCTGTAATCCCCCGCCGTTGGGAGGCTGAGGTGAGTGGATTGCCTGAGCCCGTGGATTCGAAACCCGCATGGGCAACTTGGCGAGACCTCATCTCTACAATAAATCAAAAATTAGCCAGGCGTGGTAGCGCACGCCTGTAGTTCCAGCTACTTGGAAGGCTGAGGCGGAAGGATCACCGGAGCCCAGCAGGTTGAGGCTGCGGTGGCTGTGAGAGGCCACTGCACTCCAGTCTGGGCGACAGAGTGAGACTCCAACTAAAAAAAAAAAAAAAAACCAAAACAAACAAACAAAAAACACAGAGCATTTTCCTAACCTGTTTATGCATGATTGTTTTAAATAATTCAACACACTATAAGTGTTTATATGGTTATCTGTATTTCATCTTATAATGAAATTGTAAAAACAGGACAAAACAAACTTACTGCTAAGTTTGGTACTGTGTAGATCACACCTCTTAACCCCACAATGCTCCTGATCTCAATTTAGAGAGTGTAGCAGAGGGAAGTTGGTCTGTGATCCCTATGATTCAACTGCAAACCTTTGGTTTTTTCTTTATATTCCATACAGCTCTAGGTTCTAATCCTGGCCCAAAGCCTAGAACTGTGCCTTGTCCTGGGCAAATGCTCATTAAATTTCCATCTAATTCCTTCTTCTCAAGGGAGAGAATCAGAGAGCAGGACTACAGAACCAGATGCCCAGCCATCAAGGAAAGGAAGTAATAACCTTTATAGAATATTTCCTAAGTACCAGGCACTTTTATGTATATTACCTCAATTAACCTTCACAACAACAGCACAAGTCAAGTAGTAGCAGTATCTCCACCTCTCAGAAAAGGAAATCGGCTTCAGAAGTTGTCCCTGTCGCCACACATGTATGGGGTGGAAGTGTGGAAGCAACATTTGAAACAAGGTACAGTTGACTCCTAAGCCAATATTCAGTCTTATACTCTACTATACAATTACTACTTCATAACAGCAGCACTATAAGCTTTTCCATACCTATATTTCAGATAGTCTCAGTTTATCATTCTCTAAGAGGCACTTAAGAGAGATATGTCTGCTTCTATTATTTATATTTTAATTTTTATTTAAACTTTTAATTTTTTTATTTTAAAGATGTGTGGTACAATTCAGGGTTAGATATACAAATGTTCATTATGCAGGTACCCTTGTTGATGAGGTATGCCCGCTAATTTTATTCCTAAAAAGAAGACTCTGGTCATAGGGCCATAAGGCTGAGGTTGTCTTCAAACTCCTCTTCCACAGGCCCAGAGAGGTTTAACAATCTCCCCAACGGCACTCAGCTAATTGGACCAGGACAGAAACTCAGGTCTCTTGGTTCATTGCTTAGTCCTCATTCAACTACAACCTGATAACTTTCCCCACAAATGACACCTATTAGATGTGAACTTCTATTGTTTGAAGTCCCTTCTTTCTCATGGGAGGATTTCAGGATGAGTGAGAGGCAGGGTTCCACCACCAACTATGGAAGCTTGAAAGGGGATAGACAGGCTGGGCTCAGTGGCTCAGCCTGTAATCCCAGAACTTTGGGAGGCTGAGGTGAGTGGACTGCCTGAGCCCGCGGGTTCGAGACCCGCCCGGGCAACTTGACGAGCCCTCATCTCTACAATAAATAAAAAATTAGCCAGGCATGGTAGCACATCCCTGTAGTTCCAGCTACTTGGAAGGCTGAGGCAGAAGGCTCACTGGAGCCCAGCAGGTTGAGGCTGCAGTGGCTGGGAGTGGCCACTGCACTCCAGTCTGAGTGACAGAGTGAGACTCCAACTCAAAAAAAAAAAAAAGAAAGGGGGTAGACACATCCCATTCCCCTCCCTGTGGAAGCTAAAGGGTATAACCAATCATAGGAGCTCTACAGTCTTGGAACATTGTAGGTTGACCTAGAGGCACAGGATCAATTCGGCCACACCAGAATTGAGAGGCTGGAGACACGGGTATCAATGGCAGCAATGGCTTAACCAGACCATTTCTGGGAAAAGATCGTGGCTGTGCCCTCATTTCCCTAATTCCTGCCCAAGAAGCTTCTCAAGACTTCTTATCCAACTGTGAGTTACTTGCTCTTCCTCTGATCAATTCCTTTTTGGCATAAGTTACCAGAGTAACTATATGTTGCTCGCAACCAAGTTTCTTAACTAACATCAATGGACTATAAAAGTTTCAACATCCTGATGCATATATATCTATACTTGCTGATACTGTACTGCCTTGACATCATTATAACAATAGTATAAAATCTTGAATATGTTGATTACATATTAGTATACCAATATGTTAACAAAACATTTGCTAACCTGATAAAATTATGCACTCTAGAGTGCTTTTCAATTTTGGAGCATATTTAGGGGCTCTTAAATGTCAACAAGCATATAATGAGTACATTATAAACTCTGAAAATGACCCATGGCTTTTCCTCTCCAAAGACCAGTGAAATTCCAGCTAATTTCCGGGCAAACCCATAGGTGGTCTAAGTTTTTCCATCACATAAATCTACATTACATGAATTGAAAAGTAGCTCCAATCTCCTACTCCATTCTTCTCTGACATAGAAGATTCAGAGTTGCATGGGACCAATTCTCACAGCACTTTACATCCTTTCTCCCCCTGCGTTACTTTTTCCCCCTGTATTACAGAGCCACTAATATATAAGCCATTTCATTGTGCTTTTTCTTTTTTTTGAGTTGGAGTCTCACTCTGTCGCCCAGACTGGAGTGCAGTGGCCGCTCCCAGCCCCCGGCGATCCTTCCGCCTCAGCCTTCCAAGTAGCTGGAACTACAGGCGCACGCTACCACACCCGGCTAATTTTTTGATTTATTGTAGAGATGA